TTGATAAAATTGGGGCAGAGGTGAAGATAATAAGCTGGTATGATGAAACTGACATAAATAGCCACTCTTGGATTGTATTTGTTTGTTTAACGTCTTCCACAATTTCGTGACCACTTATAATAGCTGCAAGCAACACAAGCATGTAAATAAAGTTCATGGTAAGAACAAAAATATATAAACTTCTATAAACAGCATAAAAATAAAATTGGATGTCTCCTCACCACAGACCTTCTAAAACAACTAAGTTTCAAGAATTATTCTTGAATTCTTTTTAAGAATTATTAGGGGCCAATTCAATTCCTAAGCTGTGAGAGAAAAGCGGGGAGGGGGCAGGCTTAGGGACACTTTCCCATAAATAGGTGCTGCAGTTAAGAAGTAGTGCCTGTGAGGTACTTACCACTATCAACTTACCTCATGAAATACATCACCTTAGTGAACCCGATCTGTAGTTTGTGTGATCCCCTAGATTTTTAACTGTTGAGCTTTTAAACAATTTTTGAACGTGAGTAGAACATTTTCCGCATTGGTTCAACCCAATTTGAAATTCTTAAAAGTTACCTGCCTAAATCTTTTCAAGGGTATAATGTCCTCTGATAGAGTCTACAAGTTGAATATGTCTCTTTTATAGTTTATGGCAAGCCAACTTTGGAATATTTTATATGCTGTATTTTAATCTCAAATATGAACTGAACATATTCCCTTTACATCTTTAGGCACTTTAACTCCAGTGGTGGGATTCAAATGTTTTTACTACCGGTTCTGTGGTTGTGGCTTGGTGGGCCTGGCAGGGGAAGGATACCGTAAAATCCCAAGTCAGAGGTGGTATTTGCCAATTCTCTGAACTACTCAAAATTTCTGCTACCGGTTCTTCAGAACTGGTCAGAACCTGCTGAATACCACCTCTGCTCTGTAGCAGGCCTCTTCTGTTAGTCCAAGTGGGATGGGCTAGTGCCATTGGAGTGAGATGGTTTCTCAGACACCCTGGATCCATGCCAGGAAAGAAAAATTCAATTTGGAGAAAGGATAAATGGAAATGTTGCTTAGGAATTGGACTCAACTTTTACATCACATAAAGCATGTCCACCAAAGGATTTTTAAATAATGTCAGTTCTTGGTTAATTAAATCAATTTACCTACATATAACAAACTCTCCCAACTTTATTGACCCAATATAAAGCCCACAGCATATTCAATATTTAACTATTATGGAGTTCTTAAAATATGGCTAACATTATGATGGTTTCAGTAAGTATGAGTAACAATCCAATTAAACTGTAGAATTAAGAGTAAGGGCAGATAAAACAAATGCACCACTGACTATAATAAATTTTAAATTAAATATTGCATGGTGGAATTCAATAGGACTTGGTCTCAGATTTTCTTGGACTGGGTAGGCCTATCCGTCCAAATCCAACTCCTTTTAACTGATGGGGGAGTTGGATTTGCTTGCAATACATTAACTTTGAGAAGAACTGAAGAAAGAAAAAAGAGTTAACAATAATGGTAAAAATGATATATAGATCCTAAAAAAGAGAGGGAGATCCGATTGGTTCTGTAGAAGCTTGTTTCCTTCTATGAGAGAGCCTTTTGGCAGAGAAAATAAGAGAATTAAAAACAGAAAATAAAGCAGTGCAAGTACAGAAATGCACATCAAGGGGATTAGGTGATATTTAGGGAGACACCAGTCTAAAAACAAAACTCCTTCACAGAAAAAAGAGGAAGGGTTCAAAAGTTCATTCATAGTAAAGTCTCTCTGGACCAGTCAAAAACGAGCTGAAGCACAACAAGGACTTGGAACAAGGCCACCCAAACAAGCAAGGTCCCTTTTTCTTATTTCTTGCCTGGAACCAGTCTGCTATAATTTGGCTTTTGCACTGAAGCTTCTCTTCATTTCTATCCTAGCAGGCCTTCATAAGACTCTGGAGGGAAGTCCAAAGGCTTGTCCTTCAGGAGCAGGAAGCAGCTCTACATGAGGAAAGGTCAGAGTACTTCTCTTTGCCTTTCTCTCCTTGCCTTGGACTGTAGGGCTTCTCAAGGTGTAGGGTTGCTCCTTTCAGGGTTAGTCTCTCTGTGTTTTCCTGGATGGGCAAGGAAGAGAAAATATGAGCAGAGGTCTCCAAACTTGGCAACTTTAAGACTTATGGACTTCAACTCCCAGAATTCTCCAGCCAGCATAGCTTGGGGACCCCTGATATAAGGGTTCAGGCAGCTCTTTTTATTTGGCTAGGAATGCCAGGTCAGGTAAACACAGGAGGGAGGTGAATCACAAACCACTGACCTGGGGTGACTACAGTTCTGAAAGAGCAAGAAAGGAAGCAAATCTTAATATACACCGGGATTGGTTTTGCCTTATTGAAACAACTAGGCCTTTTTGGAACAACGAGATTCAAACTCGATTGCAGAAAATATAACTTCAGCAACAGAGTTGCTGAATGCTCTACTGACTCCATTGTTATGGCCTCAACCCCTCACAGCTTCAACCTCAATCTGTCTACCATGGACCTCACCCCATTCCTAAGAGGTCCTTAAAGGGGCCATGCATAAGCGCACCAGCGTGTCTACCGTCCCTGTCTTACTGTCCCCATTTATCTGTATTTACTTCCTTTGTTCATGTTTATGTTCATACTTATCTTATACATGTTTGACAAACAAACAACAAACAAATAAATAGAGTGGAAAGAAAGGCAAGAAGATGGTGGTGGTATCAGTTTAGGAAACTGGCCTGAAAAAACCAAGAAGCAACTGGAAGGACTTGTTCTACCCAAAGAAGAAAGCAGCACCCTCCACCCAAATGCTGGGATCTAAGATTTTCTTGTTAAGATTTCAGAAGTTCTTTGCTTTTGTCTCCTTCCCACGGCTGAGCCATTGCCCACTTCCTGGGCTGAAAGAGTATGACTGGCCCAAGTTCACCTTGATGGCTTTTTAACTAAGATGGGACTTGAACTCATTGTCCTGCTTTCTAGCCTGATGCCTTAGCCCCATGATGGCAAACCTGTGGCCCACCCAGAGCCATTTGTGCCAGCATGCGAGCTGCAGGCAAACTTGCCTCACTGAGCATGTGCGCGCCTCACAGCTGATTTTTGGCTGGTTTGAGGCCTATTTCGGCCTCCCAGAGGCTTGAGGAGGGCTTCTGCAGGCTGAAAACTAAGCCAGTTTCATCACTTCCTGTTTTTCTGAAAATACCGGAAGTGAATAAACGGGCCTAGTTTTTGGCCTGCAAAGCCTGCAGAAGCCCTCCTCAAGCCTCTGGGAGGCCGAAAAAGGCCTCAAACCGCCCAAAAATCAGGTGTGAGGCACAGTGCAGGTAAGAGGGCAGCGGTGGGTGGGGATTGTGCGTGCATATGTGGGGGTGGTGGCACGCATTGCCTTCTGGGTGTTGGCACACGAGCGTGCAAGTGCGCACATGATTTTTGGCACAGGAGCCCAAAAAGCCACCACTGTCTTAGCCACTACACCCCAATTTGGCAATAAAATAATCAATTTACACTGGTATAATTTCAGGCTGTTTCTCTTGTTTCTGCCCTTAAAAGACACCCCAAAGCAATGTAAACATTTTTCACCATGCCTTTCTGGGAATGTCCTGGTGTCACTATATAGTTACCTGGATCCCTCCAAAAATAAAAATAAATCCCAAGGCTGATTTGTAACCTGATTCCCTCGGAACTTAACCACTTCTGGCAAGATCCCTAATATTTTGCAAATTGCTGCAATATCTCAATTACTTGACTCTCCATTGTTTCAAATACACTTCTATTCCTCCATTGAAAATATTAATGAAGCCACTTCAAACACTTCAGATATGAACACAACTGTTTGAGTCAATTGTATGCTTGGTCTGTTCCTGTTACGAATCTGTTAGATAATACTGATGCTAAGAAGAAAATGTTTATCTTCTGGTTATGTCTACTTACTACTTACTACAAAAATCCAGATGACTGCTATATGTCAACAGAGCAATGAAACAGAAAATCTTTAACTCCTTGCTGTCACTTAGTAGCCATCTAGATTCTTGCAGCACCTTGCTGAAACTCTACAATGTGTGCAAACATACACTTGCAAGGCTTAATCTTGTTTCAAAATAGGGAGAATAATGCCGCCATCCTAGCTTTCCAAAGACTGAGATGCCATCTGAGCCAGATCCAACATTTCCCACAATTTAACATATTGATCTAATGAAGTTGGTACCAAATTTGTACCAAGTTCATTAGTATATGAATTAGGAGATAGCTAAAATGTAGCACTTGATTCAAGGAGTTCCATCTCCTTAGTGCATCCAATTTAATTTCTGGCAATCTTCTAAAGCTTGCATTCAGAACTCTACTACAGAATCCCTATAGAATAATGTCCATGTATGCAAGATTTCCCAGGTGGAGCAAAAAAAGCCTAACAACCCATCATGTAAGGCAAATCCGTATTATTATCCCCAGATGGCACATGGAGGGAATTATAGAGTTAAGAAACTGTTGCCTCCTAGAGCAGGGGTCTCCAACCTTGGCCACTTTAAGACTTGTGGACTTTGCTGGCTGAGGAATTCTGGGAGTTGAAGTCCACAAGTCTTAAAGTGGCCAAGGTTGGAGACCCCGTCCTAGAGGCCACTGAGCTCTAGGCAGGTTACTGGAAATTTGACTCCCCCCACCCCGTTTCTGTTGTTATTGTTCAAATGTTGTCTTGACTATCATATTAACCTAAAGCAATTTTTCAATTGATACAATGTGGGAAAGACTTTGGGAAGATAAGGCTGCCTAGAGGGTATGGTCGGATAAGAGAGTGCATAGCAGCAGGTCAGAGTCTTTTGAGCCTGTATCTTGTGGTCTTTCCCATATACACATTACAATCTGAGGATGGTAGTTTGTTTAAAACTTAATGATTAACAGTCCACACTGTGGCAGTTTATAAGTCATTTAATATTTTTTCTCTCTCTCTCTCTCTTTAGTTTTTAGAGTTTCGCAGGTATTAGAGAGTAGGCTGCAATCGTGGCCCACCACTGCTCAGCAAACAGCTGAAAGGAATGAAGAAGGAGATACTTTGGGAAAGGCCGATACAGGTTGGGAGGGTTAATCATCTGCCTATAGGAGTTAGGCACTGCCTCCACCTTATCACCCTCTCAAGGCTTCAAGCTGATCCCTGGATCACATGTTGGATTTTACTGTTGCCTTTCCAGCCTGATCCTTTCAGGCACACTTCACTACAGCTCAGCCATGGCCAAGGCAGTTCCACGCACTGTGCTGATCACCGGTTGCTCCTCGGGCATCGGGCTGTGCATGGCAGTGCAACTAGCACGGGATCCAGGAAGGCGATTTCACGGTGAGATCAGGGTATCTGAAAGGGGGTGGGGATGGGATAACTGAGATGCGATACTCAGAGGACTCTGGACACTCTGGTCTTTTTCTAGGTGGGGTAAGTTAATGGGAAAAACTGGACAAAAGACATGAAAGATTTTTTTGAAGGGGATTCTGGAACTAGAGGTTGGGAGTGATAGCTAATTGGGAGAATTAAAAGAATGCAGCCTGGCCCCATCGGTTCCCTTGACTCACTGTGTAAGCTTTCTTACACAGGGTTCTGCATAACATCTGGTCTGTTTCCCCAATGCCCATCATGGCACCTTTGCATCCAGTGAGCTTTCAGCTCTTCCTTGTCAACTCGGCCCAAAACCGTTTTGTCCAAAATTACCCCAAAGTCAGGAGGCCACTTGAACCCCGATATTATATTCCGTCTACTTTCGTTTTTTGCATCCTTGCCTTTTGGACTACTTTGCATGCTGTTGGGTCTCCGGCTGCATGGGCTGCATCCTCTTCCTTCCCCCATTCTTTTCCCTGTCTCCATCGTGTCACATTAACTGCCCTTTGCTCAACTAACTGGCTGGGTGTGGATGCAGACTATCTCCAAAGGCTGCTTGCATAACCAAGCTCAGATGCCAGGGGACTCAGGAATGGTAAGAATGTCAATCAATGCCAACAATTCTCTCTCTCCTCCAACCTTCCATTCCGGTTCTGCCTTTCTTTCTGTCTGCTATAGGAGATGGCCTTTTAGCAAAAAAGGGGTGATCACGGACATACTGAGTCCAATGGGCATCAGGGCTATATAAAAGGCTATATGTCTAACACAAGGATTCCTTGGGGAAGTTACATTTGTACCTTAGGTTCCCTTTGCACATATGTGCTAGTCGTTTCCGGCTCTAGGGGGGCAGTGCTCATTTCTGTTACAAAGCCAAAGAGCCAGCACTGTCTGAAGACATCATGTGGCCGGCATGACTAAACACCGAAGGCACATGAAACACGGTTACCTTCCCACCAAAGTGGTTCCTATTTTTCTACCTGCATTTTTACATGCTTTTGAACTGCTAGGTTGGCAGAAGCTGGGACAAATAATGGGAGCTCACTCTGTTCCATGGTGCTAGGGAATCGAACCGCCAAACTGCCAACCTTTTTGATCGACCAGCTCATGTCTTAGCCACTGAGCCACCGCGTCCCCTACCTTATGTATCCCCAAAGTGTGCAGTGATAGAAAAGTTGAATGGATAACAACAGAGAGCACGCTGGATAGAAGTACATGCCATGTGGACAAATGTCTCAAGGATTTCTTGGAAGGGCTACTTTTTAATAAGAAAATAGCTACTGATGAATTGTTTATTACACTGTCCATGCTCTCTTCACAACAGATTATCTCTCCTCTGCCTACAACACACACACACACACACACACACACACACACACACACACACCACATGTACAGAGTTCACCCACAAAGAGGAGATTAGACACAGAGGGATTTGGCATCATGACCCTTAAGAAGCTTACAAAGCATGAATCCTCAATTACCCTGCTGAACCCTGGCCAAGAGCCAGCCTTCCCTCCTTTGAGCAGCCCTTCTGGACATTGGATGGCTGATACAGTCTGTTGCACAACAGAAGAGCCTGTCTGGGAGGGAGAGCTCTCTGAATAACCAGCATCCCAGGCTGTCAGCTCCTTGTAGCTTCCTGTTCTTTGTTGCCATCTCCCCAAGAAAGTATTGAGGAGGTTTAACTTACAATACTGTGCTCAGATGGATTATTACTGGTAGTCCTCAATTTACAACAATTGAGCCCAACGTTTCTATTGCTAAATGAGACATTTGTTAAGTAAACTTTGCCTCATTTTACGACCTTCCTTGCCAGAGTTGTTAAGTGAATCATCCCAGCTGTTACGTTAGTTAAGGGAATCTGGCTTCCCCATTGACTTTGCTTGTCAGAAGGTCGCAAAAGGTGATCACACATGACCCTGGGATACTGCAACTGGCATAAATATGAACCAGTTGCCAAGCATCTGAATTTTGATCATGTGACCGTAAGTCGTAAGTGTGAAAAATGACCACAAAGTACTTTTTTCAGTGCCGTTTTAACTTTGAATGGTCACTAAACAAACTGCTGAAGTCAAGGATTACCTGCATTTGTAATCATTGCACCAAAACTCTCCTTTGTGCTTTCAAATACCAAGACGGGGTAGTTTGTAAACTGTGCCTCCTGGTAAGTAGGGAATTAGAAAGACAGAAAAGAGACTGGCATACAATCTCAGTCAACATTTTTTTTTTAGTTAAGACCAGAGGTGGTATTCAGCAGGTTCTGACCAGTTCTGGAGAACCGGTAGCAGAAATTTTGAGTAGTTCAGAGAACTGGCAAATACCCCCTGACTGGAGATTTTACAGTATCCCTCCCCTGCCATGCCCACCAAGCCAAACCCACAGAACCGGTAGTAAAAAAATTTTGAATCCCACCTATGGTTAAGACTATATAACTATGGAGACCTAAGAAAATGACTAATGCTGCACTCCATGCATGTTTTCAAGTCAAAGTTAAACCTATTCCAGGTTTCCAGTGCAATGGTTAATATATGCAAGGGTCGTGGGACAATGTTTTCATCCTTGACCTCACTTTATTGTTACTACATTCTTCAAGTTATTTTGGGTATCTTAGCAGATAAATAATTCTGACCTTCCTTGTATAAGTTTCTTGTCTTCCACTGTTCAACGTCTCAGCCTCCTGTCTCTCCATGGAATGAGCAACTTACATTTAAGCTCTTTCTCCCTTCTAGTCATTGCCACAATGCGTGACCTGCGCAAAAAGGACAAGCTGGAGGTGGCAGCCGGGGACACACTCAACCAGACCCTCACCATTCGGCGCCTGGATGTCTGTAGTGATGAATCTGTAGCTGAATGCATTAACAGCCTTCCTGAGAAACAGCTGGATGTGTTAGGTAGGTGTTCTGGAGGAAAGGTTTTCTAAATAGGCTGCGGGTGGCTCACATTTATGATACAAAGCTAAGGGGAATTGTGCTTGATAATAAATTATTCTGATTAGTGGTGGGATTCAAAAATATTTACTATCGGTTCTGGGGGCATGGCATGGTGGCTGTGGCGTGGTGGGCAAGGCATGGGAAGGTCACTGCAAAATCCCCATTCCCTCCCCACCTCACTAACCTGCTTTCCAGCTCTGTTCTCCTATGCAGAGCAACAAAAGAAGACCCAGCCGATCAGCTGGGACTCAGGAGGCAGAGAATAGATGGGGGAAGGGCCAGTCAGGGGTGATGTTTGCTGGTTCTCCAAACTACTCAACATTTCCACTACCGGTTCTCCAGAACGGGTCAGAACCGACTGAATACCACCTCTGATCCTGACGCATGCAAGTTCCATAATTTCAGCGCAACTGCGCTACAGCACTCATATGCTATGTGTGTGAAAGGATGACAATGCGTCACAGCTATACATACTGATGCTCAGAAATACAATCTGTAGGTCACCAGGTTGAAAAGGGTTTCTCAACCTGAGCAACTTTAAGGCATGTGGATTTCAACTCCCAGAATTCCCCACCCAGTATGCATTCCGGGAGTTGAAATCCCCAATCTTTTTTTTTCTTTTTTTCAAATCTTTTTTATTTTTACTATGTACAGAAGGAGCAACCATTTCAATATCTATATAAATGACGTGTTGTCTGGTTATAGTTAGTTTAAGCAATAGTCATCATCATTGCCATCCTGTTCATCTTAAAGTTGCTCAGGTTGAGAACAATTGCTTTGAGTATTGAACTGCATTACACCAGTTCTCACGAGGAAGGAAAGCTGGGGTGGGTTCTTCTGCCCAAATTCCTTCAAACTAAACAACATCCCCAAATGTTTATTTGATGGGTTTTGCATTTCTGCCTTTCATAATTGTAGCTCAAACTCAGATCCTGGAGCTTTCCTTATTAGGCTTGAGTGAAGGGAACGCTGGATTGGAAATTTCATAATTCCCCCTTCCTTCCTCTAAGGCTAAGCCTGATCCCTAATTCTTGTTCTCTCCTTCTGCCCTTGAGAATTGGCCTCTTCCCAGGGTCACTTGAGCCTTTTGGCTCCAAGGTGAGATGGAAGTGGTGTTAGATAACATTGGCTGTTACATATTTCTCACCATTTACTCCAAGTCTTTTACATATAATATTCACTATGCAATATACAGTAGAGGGCCCAGAATCCTGTAATAACTTTAAAACAGATGTTTCAAAAACATCTTTTTTCTTCACCTGCTTTTCGAGATTGTGATGGTTTATGGCCAAGACAATATTAACTTTCCAAATACACAAAACAGATTTTATTGCGTGCATGCACGCAAACAAATTGCCAAATTCCAACTGAGTTCCACGCTGGGAGTGAACTCTTGAGATATAATGTATGCACTAAATTACTAGCATTGCATATTTCCAGTTGACTGTAGGAATAATGTTTTTGGGCGTCAGAATTAAAGCCATATTTTTTTTATCACCAATCAACATAGATTGCACATACATATGATGCAAAGTATGCTCATCCCGACAACCAAATTACTTCACGTAAAGTAGTTCACAGAACGCCCTAAAAAAGAAAGTAAGGAAAAGAGCATGGGTTCTGGAATTCTTTCTTTTTTTTATGTAATACATTTTTATTAATTTATCAAATACAAAGAGACATTTTAAAAGTAGAAAATTGGAGGGGGGAGGGAAAAAAAGAAAATGTGGAGTAAAAAAGGAAAAGGAAAGAAAAAGTCACCATCTTCCAACTCTCTTTAACACAATAGAAGATAATATTACAACCTCAACTTTTTACACCACAGTATAATGCGAGCCATTTCTATAGCAACCAATCTATCTGATGAGCGAAAACAAAATCAAAGTTTCATATATATTTTTCCTATTGCAAGCACAAAATCAATGTCCAAATAGAAACAAAACTAAAATGTATTCTCTTCTTTGGATAAAAGAGTCAATTTAATCTTCTCTGCTTCTCCTCGGTTCTGGAATTCTCTCAAAACCCTGTATCACATGGGGCCACTGAGGGCTATTCCTCTTTAATATAGTTGCATGTGTTTGTGTGAGTATATATTTCTGCACTCCCCTTGAGTAGTTCTTTGTGCTTGTATGTACACGTGCACAGGGAAACCCACGGAGAGTAACACATGTTCCACACCAAGGTGAAGAAGGGGGCTTAGAATGGAGCGATCAGCAGAGGTGGGATTCAGCAGGTTCTGACCAGTTCTGGAGAACCGGTAGCAGAAATTCTGAGTAGTTCAGAGAACCGGCAAACACCACCTCTGACTGGAGATTTTACAGTCTCCTTCCCCTGCCACGCCCACCAAGCTGCACCCACCGGTAGTAAAAAAAATTGAATCCCACCACTGGACTACCAGTAAAAAACAATCATTGGCAGATGATGTGCACAGATAGGGCAGTGTCAGGCTCCTTTACATAAGGTAATATTTTGTTGGGGTGGAAAGAATAAAACCCCAGAATTAATATCATTCTGAAGAATTGAATAACTTTTTTTATAATTGGATGCCTTTCGGACATGTGGACCACAAGTCCCAACATTCAACATGGCCAATGCAAATTGTACTCCAAAGCATCTACAAGGCGTTGGAGTGGGAAGGCCTAAAACACTGGATTCTCTACAAACAGCTTTCCCCCCAAGTAGTAGAGGCAGTACAGCCCACCATTAGATTGCAGATTAGAGAGGCACAGGCAGCCATGAATTGCGGGAGGGAAAAAGCATCGGTATGGTCCTTCTTAAACTCCTGGAGAAAAGACAGGAAATATATCCAACATTTAAAAATAAACTCATTCAATTACCTACTAAATTAACTGAAATAGATCTTCCCTCTTCTTTGGGGAATGTCTAGGCAATTCTCGTTTTGTTCTTTTAATTAGTTTTTATTCAATGTTGCATGGTTGACATTTTTCATTATTTTAAAGGAAACATAATTTAAAAGCAGAGTAGAGACTTCTTTCAAATGAGGTAAAAATGTCTCTGGAGGAAAAAAAGAGACGTGGATGGGTGGGTGGGTGGACTTCAATTGAGAGACTGCAAATCTAGGCACTATGAAAATTCACAGTGTGAAGTCAAAACTTATGTTTTCATCTTTCTAGATCAGGGGTCTCCAACCTTGGCAACTTTAAGCCAGCTGGCTAGGGAATTCTGGGAGTTGAAGTCCTCCAGGCTTAAAGTTGCCAAGGTTGGAGACCCCTGTACTAGATGTATAATTTGTAAAAACATTCAGAATTGACCTTGGGGAAGGTATGAGAAAGCCAGGTAGATGGTAGGTGGGTAGGTAGGTAGGTAGGAAGGAAGGAAGGAAGGAAGGAAGGAAGGAAGGAAGGAAGGAAGGAAGGAAGGAAGCCAGCCAGCCAGCCAGCCAGCCAGCCAGCCAGCCAGCCAGCCAGCCATTAGAGGGACTTAGAGAAGAGATTACACAGCCCATTGATAAAATGACATGTCAGAAAAATAGTCAAAATAATAACCCCATTTTGATTTTTTTAGTATAAAATGCAGCAGAGAGAATTTTCAAGACTTAATGTTAGTATGCCTACAGCAGTAAAGAAGCATTTGTGGAATCCCTGCAATGTAGCTTCTTGACCTACATATCTCAAAGGGCTGACTATTTCAGTCCTAACCCAGTACTTTGGCCATTCTTGTGATAACTAGTCTTCTGTTGCATTGGCTAGGCCCAACCACTGAGTTGCTTCCGCAATATAGTCACTTTGCCTTCCTATTGAGGAAAACCACCCTTTTGATAGGAAGAGCAGATGAATCCCTTTTATCAAAGAAATAGGAGCTGTTCCTAGAGTACTTGAACGAAGGAGCAGGAAAAAAGGAATCTGGATAAAGAGCAACAGAACCCAAAGCAGAAACAAAATGGCGGTCTCCATAGAGGACATTGCTGCAGGAGTGCAAGATACTACAGAGTTAAGAGGATCAGTAGAGAGTAATGTTTTAAATTGGTGGGATTTGTGTTTCTCAGTGAACAATGCCGGTGTGGGGCTCATTGGGCCCCTGGAAACCATCAGCATCGATGCCATGAAACACATCTTTGAGACCAACTTCTTTGGTGCTGTCCGCATGATCAAGGCTGTGCTTCCTGCAATGAAACAGCATCAGAAAGGGCACATTGTGGTCATCAGCAGTGTCATGGGATTGCAAGGTATGAACAGTATACCTGGCTTGTGGGTGGGTAAAGAGAAAGCAGAGCCCTTATTCTAAATCAATGCCTCTATAAAGCCATGTCCTAGCTCCCTAGATGTTATGGATTTAAAGATTATTATGGATATACAGATTTCATGGTCTCTTGTGAGATCATATTCTGCACCTCACATCCCGACTTTCAACATCAGGGATCAAATACATTCATTAAAAATATTCTGAACAACTCCAATTTTCACATTTGCAGCTCATCTTACATTGGCAAATGAGGCTGTGTGTGTGTCAAAATAATACACAATTCTGGCTTTACTTGACTATAAGTTTCCTTCTGTCCCTCATTACAAAATACCTGATTTATATAGGCTGTAATATATACCTCCCATTTCAGGATCTCAATCCCCAACCATTCAATCAGCCATCCTCACATTTTTATTTGAGTGCAAAATTCTTGTTTTTAACAGCTTCAATTTTCCCCTGTTTTCTCACAGACTTCAGCCTTCTAATTTCCCTCCATATAGACTTACCACATTGAATGGAAGTGGAAGTCTATCACTTCTGGAAGACACTGGACTGATTTTTAAGCAATTCAGTGGAAACCTAATATGCTACTAAACCAAAGTACTTTCAAGGTTCATCTTGATTTCCGAGTTTGCGCTTGGATTCTATATTGATTTCAGAGACACTCTCTGAAAAATTTAAAAAAAACAACCAGAACGGCTGAAAATTAGTCCTTTATCTATATATGTGCCCATTTGCTCTTTAAAAAGTGGCAAATTGAAGTAATCTGGAAATTAGAGGGACCTCCCATTTGCCCTTGGTAAAAAGATGCTTAGTAACCATCTATTCCCATTGTTTTTCTGAGCAGGCCCATGGCGTTTTTCCCAATTCTGTCCACTTTTCTAAAGCGGTGAAGGACTTTTGAAAAATGTAAGAATAGATGGAACAAACCGAAAACTTACATTACCCTCCTGCTTCCTTGCCAGGTATCCCTTTCAACGATGTCTATGCTGCCTCCAAGTTCGCCATCGAGGGTTTCTGTGAAAGCCTTGCTGTGCAGCTTCTCAAATTCAATATCTTGTGAGTGAAACAGAGCCAATCCAGCCACTTTGAGGAGAGAGGTGGCAATCAAAAATAGGAGAAAGTTTGTGGGGGGTGTCAGTAAGATCCTGGAAGGCAGAATTGGAGAGCCCCCCTAGCTTCTGTCCCTCTAGACTAGAGCAAGGGTGTGTCATTGAGGGCCGCATGAGGGTTGTGTTTGATCTTGGAAGGCTGGAGTGGGTGTGGCCAGCTTGACATCACTCGTGTCAGGGGCACCTGTGGCGGCCCGAGCACTCTGCCAGCGAAAATGGGCTCCCAACCTCCATTTTCAGCTGGAATGGCCTCCTGCAACCTTCTGCCAGCGAAAATGGAGATCGGGAGGCCTGGACCTTCGCTGTTTCCAGAGCGGCCCTATGGGCCAGATCTAAGCACCCCATGGGAATGATCCAGCCCGCGGGCCTTGAGTTTGACACCCCTACCCTAAAGTCATTTGGTGCTCCCAGGTGGAGTGATGGAAGCTACTCAGCATCTTCTGAACTGAAGTCAGTTTCTCCATATATAGACAGAATTGAGAAGGGCTTGAATCCAAGGAAGGAGTCCTCTTTGGTTTTATTTTCTACTCGAAGTACCAAGCGGGGAGAACCTGGTACAACAGGCAGACAGCAGATTGGGAGAAGAATAGAATAGAATAGAATAGAATAGAATAGAATAGAATAGAATAGAATAGAATAGAATAGAATAGAATAGAATAGAATAAATTTATTGACCAAGTGTGATTGGACACACCCTTCACTCTGCCTCATCTTACTATTAAAGAACATCAAGACTATTTCGACTTCACATCTTGTGGTTCCCTCTCATTACTTTGTAAGGTTTCAGCAAAGGGGAATATTTGTCAGAATGGGACAACTTGCCATGGCCAACTCACTGCAGCCAATTCACAGCGTCCAACTTGCCATGGCCAACTCACCATGGAACAATTTAACAATTCTATTTAATTATCTACAATAAATGTAAAAATATTTTAATTTTTGCCATTCACATTTCATTCTGTCCCTCCTTTTTCATCCTTTAATGATTCTATTCCACCATTTCTTTGATATTAGTGTAACTCTTGTCCTGCAGCGAGTTGTCCTGTGGCGAGTTGGCCATGGAGAATTGTCATAGACCCTATATTTGTAGCTCAGGGTTGAAATCCTTGGTGCCCTCTGACATGTGTAAGGTTTCCTGCAATAGTTCACTCATTTCTTCCCAAAGATCAGCTCTAAATTCTATTACACCAAGTATTTTTGAAAGGCAGCTCTAGGAAGCCCGTGATGAAGGCAAATGGAAATTTTAGGCTGCACTTCCCGGGATTCCTTGCTTTGGCCATGTTAGCTAGGAATTCTGGGATTAGTAGTCTGAAGAGAGCAAAGATAGGGGGAAACTGACATGCTAAAGCTAGCAAAATCCCACCGTCTCACAAGATAAGATGCATACATATCCTGCATACAATCGCGTAAGTAAATACTAGGTATGCAGATTGCTCCCTAGGTCATAAAACTCATAAATTATCATCCCCCCAAATCTGGTGGATTTAACATCTGCACTGTAAATCAGGGTAGTATACCCAATGTGCCTTGAAACAAGACCTTGTTGGATGTTTTTAGTATGAAATACAAATTTTGCACTGCCGTTGCAAGCCAACATTTGTTAATAATTTAAAAACAAAAATCTGTGCTTTAATTAAATTCAGAGTCACCATATTTCTTTTTCACATCCAAAGCCAAAGCTGGAAGAATTGGAGACGATGTAGTAAAGTACAAACGTTGGCATGAGTATTGTTATGAGTCTAAAGGAGTCATTTGGGGTTAAGCCTGTTGCAGCCAGCAAGAAAAATAAAGCTGAGAAAACATTAGTCTTAATTACTATTATTATAATGCCATGTTCTAAATTTGAATTTCAAAACATTATCAATGTGTAACGGGGAAAAAAAGAAAAACAACAAAAAGTATTTCTGGCACAAACTAGCTAAAACAAAGCAAGGGAGAGTTAAAACTTATATACCGAGCCAGTGATCAATGGCTGTGCTAGTTGGGGATAATATAGTTGTTTCCAGCACATCTGGAAGTCAGTGAATTGGGGTATGATTGTGCAATCATACAAATGTGTGACTATAGCCACAATAACCTTATTCATGCTAGGGGTTGGCCATAATCAGATATCCCATCAACCTGGAATTATTCAGAATTCTGGCTCAGTATGAATGAGCCGTAGCCTGGTGCATTGCTGTTAAATTAAGCCCATTTGATTCCTCCAGCCAGCCAGAACTGCTAAGAAACTTGGGCTCTTCATTCAGGCTTTAACATGCTATCTAGCCTAGGACAACCCAGAGGCTAGTTTCCATCCTAAAAAGCCAAAATTGAAAGCCAAGAAGAAACCAATAGACCGGAATGGCCAATTTTGAGGGCAAAAAAGCAGCGCACCTGAAGAGTCAACTTCAGAAGCAAGCAGGCTGGGACTGAAAGAATACGGCAATTGAGCAGCAGGCTAGAAGAGTAGGCAAGGTCCTAAGCATCCAAAAATCAGCAGCTCTGCAAACCTGGGGCCAGATTGGCCTTACAGCATTGTCCCCTCAAGCCATGAGTGATCAGGGGTTGTTAAGGTTAACCTGGACTCATCTGTAGTGTTTTCATCCAACACAGCAGAGACAGGACCTCTGGGTTCCCAAGATAAATCTCCCGGATCTTGAAAACACAATGAATTTAACCCAAATCCCTGCAATGCATACTCAGGATTAACAGAGGAGCCTCAGTGGCACAGTGGTTAGAGTGCAAGCTACTCCTACTGCAATTTGGCAGATCGAATCCCACCAGGCTCAAGGTTGACTCAGCCTTCCATCCTTCTGAGGTGGGTAAAATGAGGACCCAAACTGTTGGGAGCAAGAGGCTGACTCCATAAACTGCTTTGAGAGGGCTATAAAGCACTATAAAGCGGTATATAAGTCTAAGTGCTATTGCTATTATCTGGAGACATCTCCTTCCATCCCTTTCTGAGAAAAAAGTCCTTCTAAAAGAACAGATTTAAGAAAATATTTGCAAGTAAGGAAAAAAAAATATTTCATGGGGGAGTGAAAGTGCTCAGAGAAAAACAGGACTTACCCATTTGTCCCCAAAATGTTATTTCATATTCACCAGAAATGCCATGCCTGTTCATGTTTTAGAAGTCCATTATTTGCTTTTGATAAATTAATAATAATTCAAAGACGCATTGGATCATAAAAGGTTTTCAGTGGGCCATTGCCCAATTTGCAACACTGGCAACGGACTCACTTTGCAATGAAATGAGACAGAATGATGCAAAATGTCCTGTGAAAAAGATACAACAGTGAAGAGCCTGACTGAAGAGGTCACGTACAACTCAAGGACAACTCAAGAGGAAGAATGGGATAGATGTTCTAGATGTATCATTTTTATACAAGTTAAAAGCTTTGGAAATCCACAAATAGGCCTTTCCTAGGGGTTTCCAGGATTGAGGGTGAGGGGTAGAGAACAGGGGAAAAGACTGATCCATCTGTGAAAATAATATATTGACCAATTCTGATATAACGGCCTCTGGGTCCAAATGCTAACTGAGTGTTGTTGTTGTTGTTGTTGTTTTGGATGATTTTCCTGTACAGCATCTCTCTGGTAGAGCCTGGCCCTATAAACACCGAATTTGAGATGAAGCTGATGGAGGAAGTGGCCAAGTCTCAGTTCCCAGGAGTTGATGCTGCCACTGTGCACTCCTTCAAGGACATCTACTTACCAGCCTCACATGAAATATTCACCACCATGGGCCAGTCCCCTGAGTTTGTGGCTAAGGTAGGAGCAGTCCCACAAGTGATGTGAGGGGTCTACAGAAGGAAAGTTCTTCTAGATTAGGGGCCTCCAAACTTGTCAACTTTAAGACTTGTGGACTTCAACTCCCAGAATTCCTCAGCCTGGCTGAGGAATTCTGGGAGTTGAAGCCCACAAGTCGTAAACTTGCCAAGTCTGCAGACTCCCATTCTATCTTGCTTATCAAATTCTGTTGGCATCATACAAAGCAGAATGCACCCTCTTCCAGTGATTTTTATTGGCAGCAGTTTCTCCCTTCCCATTCTCATCTGCCTACCCTGTTATGCATCTAGTATTCCATGAATAGTTCTAGTAGGTGAGCAAAGAGCAAGCTACCTCTAATCAACTTTTTGCCTGATCTTCTTGAATGACCTGTCTCACCCCACTTTCATGTCTGTTTTGATTGGCTCAGGCTCTTCAAGGGCTCAGCCAAAGGATATCTTTCCTAGTCCAATTAACCTAAGACCCTTTTAATTAGAAATTCAAGGGACTATCTTGGATATATCACAATACGCTTTGATCTTTCGGATTCCAGAAGAGAAAATACAAATGTGTAAGTCAATCTCACATTTCGGGGACTATGGTTCTAACAGCAAGGAGGAAGCAGAAGAAAGGATGTCCACGATAGGGAATCTGCTTCACTAGTGGATGGTTTTAATGATAAAGTGGAGGAGAAATGATTTAAATGAATACTTTTTAAAATATACCAACTCATCAATCTCTTTCCAACTTGCTTTTTAACAGGCTGTGGTCAATGTCATTGCAAAAGAACGGCCACCATTCCGGACCCAGACAAACCCTCTGTACACACCATTGGTGGCCCTAAAGTATGCCGACACCTCCGGTGAACTGTCCGTCAGTGCCTATTACAACCTACTTTTTCGTTTCACCAGACTTTTCTACATCTGTACAAGCTTCCTCAAATGCATTACATGTCGGTGTTTTCGGCGCCAGATCACACCTACCTGAGATCAAGCAGAGAATGGCTTTGATGGTGGTGTATGCTCACTCCTCAAATGTCTTGCTAAAAACTACTAACCAGATTCATTTATGTGTATAAGAGATTTTACTAGGGACAAAGCCATTTTTATTTTAAGGATAGTAAGTCCTGGTGATTGTGTAGTGTGGTGTCAGAGTGATGGGAGGTGGCAGATTAAGCAAGTTCTTCAGAGCCAGCAGGTTGATTCCACAGCAAAAATCAGAAGTCCAAATATCCTAATCATGGGGACAAACACTGGGAAGAAGAGCTCACAATTCATCATGCAGTGGCAAATCATGTCACCTCCATTAAACGCAACTTATTAACATAAATAGGAAAGTAAAAGCTACGAAATGCCTGACTGGAAACCCTGGATAGACCAGCATTCACAATTTCCTCTGTGGTCCCTTTGCCAGTTTTGGCATACCTATTTTTTATGACTAAAATGGTCACTGGGATGGGCAATATTTTTTTTCCTGATTAAATCCCCCAATTCAACTTTTCAAACAGCTAAAACGGCTAGTTAACAAAATCACTGGATGACATAAGACTGGCATTCTTTTTAGCCCAACTTTTTCTTTTTTAACCTTTGGAAGAGTTTGCAAGGGAGTTTCACTTGCCCATCTCTGGACTAGAATCAAGCTGATAGAAAAGTTGCTGATAATGTGCAAAGTTCTTCACTCTATTGGCTGTTCGCTTGATTCTGATCCTCCCTGGTAACCTTTATGGATATAAGGAAAATCATGCTGCTCTTTCCCAGACCTCTGTGTTTTGTTTTAAATAGCTATTATGAGCAGAGAAGGTACCATTCCACAAGTGATGTTGCCAATTTTAATCTGAGCAACTGTCATTCTGAAATTTTATACAGAAACAAAGTTAGAGAGGTAAGGATGACATATGTGTCTGATAAATCTTTTTGGGGGAATAGGGAGGTGGTCATTTGAATTACCTTTACTAGGTCCACCAGGAGGTGTTGTTTTGAGTTCTCTAGAACAGTGGTTGCCAACCAGTGGGCAACTTTTGGTGGTTCACAGAGAAATGTCCCCCCTCAAGCACTTCCCCCAAAGCAATTAATCCAGGCTATACGGGAACACAAAGGCTGCACCACCCACCTGGCTCACCCACCCACTGGCCCCTACCCTTCAGCTGAGCACAAATCTTACCTTGAATAGGTAAGCTGGAACTGGAAGGTAAGATCAACGGCAGGGGAGGGAAATCCGCCCCAGGATGGCTTGCTGACATGGGTGGGAAAGTCAGTCCCATATTCCAGAGCTGCAGTAGTCACAAGACTGGCCCTTTGGTCATCCCGGAGCAGCTCCTCCAGTCCATGGCAGGTCGGTACACCTGGATGGAGGAGCAGTTGTTATGGGATGATGACCAAAGGGCCAGTCCTATGACTACTGCAGCTCTGGAATATGGGACTGACTTTCCTACTAACATCAGCCAAAATTCATATTAGTAGTCCGCAGGATTTAAAATTATGAGTTTGGTGGTCCCTGTGGTCCAAAAGATTGGCAATCCCTGCTCTAGAAGTCTTTCAAAAGAGAGAAGCCATTAGGAAGAAACTGTCCCCTTGCTTTCGGGCCAGGAGTCTCCAAACTTGGCAGGTTTAAGACTAGTGGACTTCAACTCCCAGAACTGCCCAGGCAGCTTGACTAGCTGAGGAATTCTAAGATTGAAGTCCACAAATCTTAGAGTTGCCAAGTTTGGAGACCCTGCTTTAGGTTCTACCTCACATGGAGAAGGGGTCTGGAGTTCTTGAAAGCCTGCACACAGTTTTGTGTCATGGTGATTGGCCCTAATCAAAATATTAACCAAGCAGCATTTTGGTCTTTTGAGTGCATGGGTACACAAATCTCTCTCTGCTGGTAAGGTGCCTTCTAAGGTGGAGCTAACTACATTACCATTAAAGGGCTAGTTTCAGGTTTTTCCTTGGATTGTCTCCAGAACAGCAGAACCCCATTCACTGCGAACACTCAAGATTTGCAAAAATATACTAATAATAGAATAAAGGAAGGCAGACCTATTGCTGTCACATTTAAAACCTTCTTCTCTTGGGCCACTAGGTGGCAGCTCCTACATTTGAAGGTCTTCACACTTGGCAAGTTTCAGACTTGTGGATTTCAACTCCCACAATTCCTGAGCTAACATGACTAGAGGAGGAATTCTGGGAGTTGAAGTCCACAAATTTTAAAGTTGCCAAGTTGAAGACCGCAGCTCCAGTCCAAGGAACCAAAAAGGTGCCTTTAGCAGCTACAGCACTATAGTTTCTTTAACTCCCTTGCTCTCTTCACTGCTATATAGTACATTACCTAGTGCTTTTCTTCTTCCTTTTTCTCGTCACCTCCATCGGGTAATTCCAATAGCAGCTCTAAGTCCTTCCTCTTCTTCCTTTTTGGCGCTGTACTGACTCGGGAATCTAGGCAGCCTCTGCTACGGCAGCTGAAGCTGAAATTCAGAGCGAAAACAAGGATGAGAGGGTAGCATCCAGTCACACCTCTTTAAGCCAAGCGCTGGGTTTTTCCCAATGCAACGGCATTATTGGAAATAAATTTTGTAGAGAGTCCCTGGAGTCTGTTCATCTATGTCTTGACAACAAGCTAACTCTCTACAAGTTGAAAAAGAATGGACAAAATGTGGAAGGAGTGGGGGAAGCCAACAAAAGACGGATGAGATTTGAAAATGGGAGCCACATCGAGCCCGTTTGCCTCGAATATTTGGTAAATTTGAAGCCGGAATCTAAGGACACGTGTCATCGCTTCCTTTTTTTCTGCTCCTAAAGCAGCCTTTTAGTAAAGATCCCGTTGCCTTCGCAAAGTACAGAAGCCACCAAGCTCTGTATCTAAGCGACCGAATTCCTCGCCAGCAGCCCTCAAGTTCCTATTGGCTACCTCTGATATTGCATCACAATTGAGCAAACAAAGGATTCATACAAAGACTGCTGAGAAATACGCCTTCGTACTTGCCGGCGGTGGAGAAAGAGCCATTGTTTTAGATAGGAAACACCTTATACGGATCATCTTAGAAACCCTTTTTAAATAGGGATCAAAATCTCATTCCCTCTAACAAACCTGCTAAGTTGATCTGGTAACGATTGCATCCGATTTTGAAGTTACTAAGGAAACCAGATATAGTTTAATGCGATGAAAAAATGAAAATCATGTAAGCCCATTCTTCAAAGGTATGCTTCCCCCCCACACACACACACACACCCTTTAGTACCCGCGTTTAGCTCCCCGCCTCACTAAGCAGCTTGTTTCAGCCAGCTAATGCATTTATTTCGTAATTACAAACCATAGAAACAATACTCATGGAAACTCAGCTTTTTTTATGAAAAAGTGGGTGGCCCTTAAAAGGGCCTTTTGTTTTGTTTTGAAAAGCTCGCAATGCTTAACCACCAAATCCGTACAGGGTACGGCCTTGGCGTTTCAAGGCATACACCACATCCATGGCAGTCACCGTCTTCCTCTTGGCGTGCTCGGTGTAAGTCACAGCATCGCGGATAACATTTTCTAGAAACACCTTCAGCACCCCCCGAGTTTCCTCGTAGATCAAACCAGAAATACGCTTTACTCCACCACGACGAGCCAAACGGCGGATAGCGGGCTTAGTAATGCCTTGGATATTATCTCGCAAGACTTTGCGATGGCGCTTAGCGCCTCCTTTCCCTAATCCCTTTCCGCCTTTTCCTCGTCCGGACATTCTTGAGCCTTCTTCAACCTTTCCGCTCACGAAACCAAGAACAAATGTGCTCTTAGAGGGCGCACAGCGAATTTATATTCTCTAGAATCCGACCAGAAGGAAACCTTCCCTTGAAGGGCGGTTACTTTACGCCGCTGAGCCTTTCCCGCCATAAGTTTCTGCCCCTCAGGTTTGTCCAATGAGAAAGGAAAGTAGTTCGCACGGACCAATGACAAACCACCGTTTGAAACTAAAATGTTGGCGCCTTTCTGTTGTTTCTGGTTTTACCCATAAGGAAATTCCCGATTGCACAAGCGTTGAGTTAAATAATTATAGTCTTGTCCACGTTCTGAAAGAAAACAAACTTTTAGTGGGATGAGAATATGTTTTTGCATAAGAAGACCGATCAGGTCCAAAATTGCAACAAACTTACAGTAACTCTGTGAAAATTGATATAAAGTTTTATCGGAATCCGTTGCTGTTCCTACGAGTTTTTATCACTTTGTAACATGAAAAAAATTACAAGTCAGCCAAAAAAATAAAAAAACCCAAACACGAACTTTTTTTTTTAAGGAAATGCTGTTGTTTCTGTAACACCATACAGTAAATAAAAAGAATGGGAATGTATTGACTGAAGTTTGTGTACATTTAATTCAAAAATTGTTTTGCATATTACTCAAAATAATAGATTATCTATGATGAATCACAAAAACTATCTTAATTATAACTAGGCTACTTTGGAATATTAGCTAGATTTATGTTTCCCATTTTATTCTTTTGATGCATGTTATGCTTACAATTGCAACAACCCTCCAATGTAACCTGGACAGAAAAAATACCTAATTTCTGCCATCTCTGGATCATGCTGGACTAACTAATCAGCTGATTCAGAGCCACTTTACCAGTCAGACCTATTATTTTCTGTTTGAAATGGAAATTCTGCCAACATAAAATAGATTTTCTAAAAGGAGATATCTAGACAGATGACTAGAAGAGGTTTTTTTTTTTTAATTTTTCATTGCAACGAACGTAAGACTTAATGTGCTTTAGAATAGGTTGGAGATGCTAAGCTTGTACTGTTTAATCCAAGTAGCGTATTGATTATTGAGTCTGGTTCTCTCTAGTTTAAAAGTTGGAGCATGACGGTCTTCCTAAATGCAGTCCATCATCAGCACTCTCACCCTCTGGGGAGAGGTAATAATATCAGTTTTGGACTGAAGAGCCAAGATTAAATTTTGGATTAAAATTCACTCGATACTTCTTAAAGCCAATGCATTTTCCTAAACTGAATAGAGGGAGAACTATGCAGACACATAACACAGAAACGTATTTTTAAAATCCTAATGCCATTCTAGTTGCCATATTATTAATAAGAGCTAGCTTAATTCAGAGCGTCTAAATGCAGAAATCCATATTCAGCGCAGTCCTATTTTTAAGGTTCAGTGTGAACTATGCTTAAGCATACTATGTAGTAATAACACACAGCAAAAGTGCACTGCTGGTAAAGATGGTGTTACCCTTATTTTTCCTGGGAGGAAGTAATTTCTTGGGTTGGTTACTATCTATCAAGGAGTCTGGGAGGTTCCAAGAGAAGAATGCAAATGTAGCAATGTAATAATCTGAATACCATTGCTATAGACGTTGAAGCATTTTAAGAAGGTGATTTATGCTACTGGAAGCCTGGGCTTTAATTTCTGAAACAACATATTCTTCACATACATTAGACCAAATGACCCACCTAGGTTTGATTTGCCTACATGTAAAGAATGGCACCAAATGTTATCTATAACTTTATTAACACCATGTTTACATCCTCATCTCAGGACATGGCTTCATCCCAGCCTATCATAAAGTGTAAATCTGAATGCCTGAAACTTATTACATTTTATATGAAGATTAATACTATGGCAAAATAGAGATTCCATGATTTCTATAGCAGTCATCCCATCAACATTTTCTTTTTGCACTTTCCACTAGCCTCTTAGACCAAAATATATAGGAATGAATTATATGCAGTGGGATGAATGGAAAAGAAACATACTTCAAGGAAACATTGGTTTGTTTGTTTTTAACTTGAAAGACCTGGATGTTGATTTGGGCAGGAAAGTCAGGAAGTTGTGAGATATTAATTTAGCCTGTGAGATATTAATTTATTGTTGATTGAGTTTTGTTTCCTGTTGTCATTATAGGGTTTTTATACTGTTCTTTCATATTTCATAAGGTGTTAGCCATCCAAAGTTGCTATGGTGAGATGGGGGAGGTATAAATCAAATGAAGAAAGCACTTTTTTTCTCCTGTATTGATCATAAACTCATAACCCCATCACTGGATTGCTGCAACATGTTTGCACTATGATTACATTCAAAACTAAACTAAACTAATGACACGTTAGCTATCAGCCTTAGAAATAACAACACTGGAGCAATGGATAGCTCCTTCCTTTTATGGTTGTCTGTCAACAACAATGGAACCAAGAATCGAGAACTATGCCTCAGGGTAGCATTTGATGTGTAGCGATAAAGGCCTTGGGGAAAAAAATCAGTTGCCATGATGTAGTTAAAAAATCAGAATGATGCATGCAGTGGTTTTCCATGTGATACTGTAAGTTGGACAAGAAGGGTAGAAAGACTATCGATGCTTTGAACTTTGGTGTTAGAGATGTTTCCTCAAAATCCCATGGATTGCTATGAAAAAACAAACCAGTCCAAAGTTCTTACCTGAGATGGACGTGTTCAAGATCATTTTGGACACATTATGCAGACTTATGTTTCTGAAGAAGTCAATAATGCTCTTGAAGGGGAAAAGCAACAGCAAGGTGGAGGAACTCAACATCATGGCTGGAACAGAGTTCATTAATCCACCTTGCTGCTGGTTATCCCCTTGATGGCCTGCCTGTTAAAATAAAGCCAGGTCATGGCACACACTTGAAAGCAAACCAGGAAGCCTGTAACTGTGGAGTCTGTCTGGCAAGAACAAAAACTGCTTATCCACAGGAAATGTGCATGTGTAAAGCTTGTAACGATTCTGGGTAGTTAGAAAGTAAAAATGATGAATGATAAAAGTTACAAAGAGTTAGGCGTCTTGCAGACCTCAGCTAGAAGTTAGGAAGAGAGATGGCCTGGAGCAAAGAGAATGTGTATTAGATACCTCCTGGAGCATTCCTTAGCCAAGGCTAAGGAATAGGGATGGATAGAGACCAATAGAACAAATCGTTAGATCATTACTAAAATGTTTATTAGATGATATTTCTTATTATCTCACCTTGTCCCACCTTCTCCTTTAGTGAAAATGTATAAAGCTTTCTAAATCTTGTTCCTTGGCATTTTGGCCAGGAGCCCTTTTCCTTGGAGTACTCCAATAAAAAGGCAATCAGAAAACCTGCACCTGGTGCCTGGCGTCCTTCATTGGCTTCGGCACCAGGCTCGGACCCGAATTTGGGATAACACCTTTCTTACAGCCATGATGGGGGTTCACATCCACTGACTTGGCAGCTCATAATCAAACCATAGTGAGCTCCCGAACATTAAAACAAATTTAATAACTGAAATACAGAGGAAGGTTCTCTCCCTTTCTTAGTCTTTATATTTATTGAATTCAGGTCACCAATTCAGTACAGCTTACATAGGAGTAGAAAATCCAGTTTGGTTTAAAGGTTAAGGCACCAGATTAGAAACCAGGCACCTGAGTTTTACTGTTTTAAGAGTGTAATCTAGCTGGGTGGACTTTGGATCAGTCACTCAGTTTCAGCCCAACCCTCCTCACAGCAGTGTTGTGTTGAAAATGTGCCAAGGGGGACTTGTTAAGTAAGTTTTGCCCTGTTTTATAACTTTTATTTTCACTGCAATTGTTAAGTTAGTAATATGGTTACTTGGATCTGGCTTCCCCATTGACTTGACTTGTGAGAAGGTCACAAAAGATTATCAAGACCCTCAGGACACTGCAACCACCAAAAATACAGTAAATGAGCTATTTGCAAAGTCTTTGGATTTTGATCACAACCATGACGTCCCAAGTTGAAAAACAGTCATTAAATCTTTTCAGTGCCAGTCACTGAACAATGTTATAGGTCAAGAACTGTACAGTATTAGGCTTATTCGCAGCCTTATTTATGAAATCTCTGAAAGGCAGGATTTAAAAAAAATCTATCAAAAAGCATCTGCAAGACCAGATCTGGAAGTCATGCTGTCAATCCATAAATCCTTTTGTAGTTTTATTTGCATTTAAATTCAGCACAAGATCTTACTTTTTTAAAAAGGGTATCTTGAATGTTAGGAACAATAAACACTGCCATGCTGTACAGCTTCAGTGATTAACAGTTTGACCTATACTATAGGTATGTACATTTCTGCTACGTTATTTTTTAAACAAGAGCCCTATCTTCACATTTTGGTAATAACGAAGAACATCTGAGACAGACCCAAGTTTTTAAGTTAGCGAGGACACACAACAAAGTAGCGACTTAAAACTCTTTTATGGGGAAGTGGATGGCTCTTAAAAGAGCCTTTTGGGTTTCTCAAATCGCCTTACTGCGCAGCACAGCCGCCTCACTTGGAGCTGGTGTATTTGGTGACGGCCTTGGTGCCTTCCGACACGGCGTGCTTGGCCAGTTCGCCGGGCAGCAGCAGCCGCACGGCCGTCTGGATCTCCCGCGAGGTGATGGTGGAGCGCTTGTTGTAGTGGGCCAGGCGGGACGCCTCCCCCGCGATGCGCTCGAAGATGTCGTTGACGAAGGAGTTCATGATGCTCATGGCCTTGGAGGAGATGCCGGTGTCGGGGTGGACCTGCTTCAGTACCTTGTAGACGTAAATGGAGTAGCTCTCCTTCCGGCTCTTGCGCCGCTTCTTGTCACCCTTCTTTTGGGTCTTGGTCACCGCTTTCTTCGAGCCCTTCTTGGGCGCGGGAGCAGATTTCGCCGGCTCAGGCATTGCGAAGAAGTCACTTCCTAATAAATTGTAAGAGGAACAGCAACTGTCCGAACTTTCTTGCAATCAGAAAAACTAGACACTCCGTTTATCTCGACGAAACTGAGACAGATCAACCTCCGTCTTCCCACTATTTAAAGGGCTCCTATGCAAATAAGGGTAGCTGCACTCCTCTGTTTTCATTGGCTGGTGTAGCCTCGCTCAGTTTCGCTCTGCGCGCGCAGATGCAAATGAAGAGGGCTGCGATGCTATGGTTGCTATTGGAAGGGGGACGGTTTCAACTCGTTCGATTGGTTAGGTTGACAAACCTGCCTTCGTATTGGCTAAGAAAGCCTGACGCCTGAGCAGCCAATCAAACCGTGCAATCTCAGGCTTTGGAAAAGCATAAAAAGGCCCCCACCGCCCGTTCATCTCTAATCACTGCCAGCTTATTTAGAGCTTTTGGTGTGTTGTGCTTGGCTCAGGAACAGCATGTCTGGTCGTGGCAAACAAGGCGGCAAGGCGAGAGCCAAGGCCAAGTCTCGTTCTTCCCGGGCAGGGCTTCAGTTCCCGGTCGGTCGCGTCCACCGCCTGCTACGTAAGGGGAACTACGCCGAGCGGGTGGGCGCCGGCGCTCCCGTCTACCTGGCGGCGGTGCTGGAATATCTCACGGCGGAAATCCTGGAGTTGGCCGGCAACGCTGCTCGGGATAACAAGAAGACCCGCATTATCCCCCGCCACCTGCAGCTGGCCATTCGCAACGACGAAGAGCTCAACAAACTCCTGGGCAAAGTGACGATCGCTCAAGGGGGCGTGTTACCCAATATCCAAGCGGTCCTCTTGCCCAAGAAGACGGAAAGCCACAAAGCGAAAGGAAAATAGAAGTTGCTGCGAAGAACACTGAATTTCAAACCCAAAGGCTCTTTTCAGAGCCACCTACAATTTCAAGTAAGGAGCTGAGTCTCACGGTATCGAACGAGGTGTTCCTTTTCGGATCCAAAGTATGTCCCCGGAGCTGGCACTTCCTTAGCCCTGGGCTTGCATATGGTCGCGGATCGTGCCTTTTAGCAAGCAGATTTAGAAAAGCCCACCTGTTAACACAGGCTTCAGCTGTTACATTCCAAACACTCAAGCGCTTTTATTATAAAAGCGTGAGGATAGTGGGGGTAATCTCAACAAATCGCCGGCGGGATTATTCAAACTTGGCCGCTTTCCTTCGGGGAGAACTTAATCTAAAATTCTGATCCATAGCTTGCTTAAAAGGGCATTTAACCGTAGAATCCCTTCAGTATTAATTTTTACCAACAAGTTGTTGGTGATCAGAAAGGTGTGTATAAAATCTTTCAAACCTAAAAGAGTGATCTCAATGGCTTCATAATAGTAATTTTACACTTGGAAAAAGCAAAGCTGGAGTGCCCCAATTCTAGGAGAGCCCCGATCGACCTGTGTGGAACTTTCACGGGCACGTCCATGCAGATTTGGGGAACAACGTGGAAATACTTGCTTTCTTTCCAGTCTCTACTTTTGGCCTTTTCTAATAGCCGATCTTGGTTGATTTTAGAGATCAGGCAAAGTATAATATGCCAGTGGATCATAATGATAAACTATATAACAAGATCGTGACTAATCAACTAGCAAACTAATTATTCTATGTAACAAGTGCTTAAAATGAAAAAAATATAATGGAATAAACTCTTGCAATACAAGTTTATATGCTCTCCCATTATTTAGGCAATATAGGAATGCACATTGGCCTTAATGGTGACATACGTTTATTAAATATCTTTGTAAGAAACTCAATACACAAAAAAATAGAATTTGTAAGTGTTCTCCCTTCTCGTTTTTCCCTACAACTACCCTGCGAGGTAGGCTGGACTGAGCCAAATCACTCATAAATTTCTATGGCTGAGGGATTAGTTCCGGGGTCTCATTGGTGCCACACGCTGGTTATTATCCACAACTGCTAAACATTTTCATCAATTCAAAATTAGAGCAACACTTTTGCAAATTATATTCATCCGCGCTAAGTAGATGAATGTACAAAAAATACCTTGGAGCTTTTTAAATCTGGGTTGCAAAAATATGGATAACTGGCTTACAGAGAGACCTAAAAAAGCAAAAATCCTCCAACTCCTTGTTGCCGTCTATAGGCGGTCCGGATTTTTGCAGCGCAGAAAGGGGCCCTTGATCTGTAAGAATTGTGAAGACATTATTACGCAGAGCTTAAAAGAATGCTGACGTATCCATTCGAGTACAAAAGAGGAAAAAGAGTGAAACATTGTAGCCAATCCCTTCCAAGCCCGGGAAATTCGAAACTACTCAGCCAATCAAGAGAGGACCACTCTGCTATAAATACTCCGCCTTCAAAAGCCTAGCCTGTTTTCTGCTTTCTACTTCATCCGGATCGGTTCCTCTATAGGCGAACAATGGCTCGTACTAAACAGACTGCTCGAAAGTCTACTGGAGGAAAAGCTCCTCGTAAGCAGTTGGCTACCAAGGCTGCCCGAAAAAGCGCTCCAGCCACCGGCGGGGTGAAAAAGCCTCATCGTTACCGCCCCGGCACTGTTGCCTTAAGAGAAATTCGTCGTTACCAGAAATCGACCGAGCTGCTCATTCGCAAACTCCCCTTCCAGCGCTTGGTGAGAGAGATCGCCCAAGATTTCAAGACCGACCTCCGTTTCCAGAGCTCCGCCGTTATGGCCCTGCAGGAAGCCAGCGAGGCTTACCTCGTGGGCCTCTTCGAAGATACCAACCTGTGCGCTATCCACGCCAAGAGGGTGACAATTATGCCGAAAGACATCCAGCTGGCGCGCCGCATCCGCGGGGAGAGGGCTTAAGGGGTCCTTTCGCCAGTTGCGCAAGCGCAACAAAGCAATCCAAAAGGCTCTTTTAAGGGCCACCCACGTATATCAAGGAAAGAGCTGCTGTTTCGCTGCCGCTTTTAAAAACGGCTACTCGCCGTGTGTGTGTGTGAGAGAGAGAGAGAGGGGGGGTGGTGGTGGTGGTTATACTATTGCTTAGAGCTTATAGCGTTAGTTACTACTCCCAACACTACTGGTTTCCCAAAAATCTGAATTTGCAAATGTGTATTCAACATGGCAAGGGATTCTTAACGGACCACGGAGTGGTAGTTTGCATTCTTGATACCCACATCACTTAAGTTTTAACTGGGTTATGGAAAGTGACCTGGGAGGAGGCGGCGGCTATGGGTGTTCCTTTTTTAAAAAAAATATATGGGGAGCTGCGTTTTTTATGACTTGAGCCAATGAAACATGTTCAAATGTTTGGCTAACATGTTGCAATGGTTCACACAGTATATTTCGATGCAAGACTTTAAAATGCTACAGTGTCACTGGAGTTGATACCTTTAAAAGAATTAGTGCTTGCTTCAGAAAAAAAAAACTTTCAAACATCTGTTGTTAAAGACTCATAGATAAATTCAGAATTGTTTCAATAGGCTTTGTGTGTGTGTGTGTGTGTGTGTGTGTGTGTGTAAAAGCCACCTTGATGCTATATATAAAGGTTTCCTACTAGCACATTTAAAGATCCAAATTTTCTGGCAGTGAAATGTTTGCACTCTAAATACTTTGGGCATTAACTTGGCTGTAAAATTAAAATGGGAATTTGGCAAACTGGATCAATCACAAATGATTCTCAATTCTTTGTCCAAGGAAATAATACCCAGAGATTTCATTGTTAGGAAGAAAGTTTGGGAGGGGGCTGCATTTAATTTTGTAAGCTTTTCTGATGAAAAATATGCATCTTGGTAAGCATGTATATGACTATTGTAGTTTTGCTTCTTTCGGTCAGCTTTACAAGGTATTCATGTGAATCTCATATTCAATAGCATACACCAGTTGCAATTAAAGTGTTTGCAAGGAGCATGTTTTAAATAATTGGCTTTTGGGGCTAGTGTTAAATAATTGGCTTTTGGGCAATCTATTTCAGACTGGAGACATTTGAATTTTGACATGTACTTTGCCCAGACAGCTACTGTGGGAGATTTTCATTTTCCCCAAATAACTTAATCTGATGGGCAATGCTTGTTGAAAATTATATATATATATAAATAAATATATAAATATATAAATAAATATATATATATATATATATATGATAAAAATTATACACACACACACACACATATATATATAATATAATTATAATATATAATATATATATATATAATTTTCAACAAGCATTGCCCATCAGATTGCCCATATATATAAAACTTATATTTCTATATGTGATTGCATGACCTCTGCATATACGTCATACACTTAAATAAAATAAAAATAAAAATTCATAGGAATTACTTTTAGATGATCTCTACTATTATCAATAGGAGCTACAGGGATGTGTGATATTTTTTGTTGTAGTGTTTCCATTTTTTATTAAAATAATTTAAAAGAAAAAAATCTGTGACCCTGATTATGGAGCATTATGTAAGTGATTTATACCCACAGACCTCAGAATGTCTATCTCAGACAGAAGCTTTATCACATCAAATGATATGAGCCTCGGTGGCACAGTGGTTAGAGTGCAGTGCTGAAGGCAACTTCTGCTGTCAGCTGCCTGCAATTTAGCAGTTCAAATCTTACCAGGCTCAAGGTTGACTCAGCCTTCCGTCCTTCTGAGGTGGGTAAATGAGGACCCAAAATTGTCGAGGGCAATAGGCTGAGTCTGTAAAACCACTTAGCAAGAGCTGTAAAGCAGTATATAAGTCTAAATGCTTTTGCTATTGCTAAATATCCATCTCATCCAGGATTTGCTTTTTATCAGTGACCCAATAAATTGCTGCAAACAATGTGCAGACTGGCATTCTTGTTTCTACAGCGCTATTCTGTCCACGCTGGCTGCACTTAACAGCCACTATGGAAAAAATATCAGCAAATTGGCAGTCAACCACCGATGAATTTTTGTTGGAAAGCTGGCCTGCTTTTAGAAGCACTTGCTTTTATTTAATGGACTTTTGGGGCTCTCATAACAGGATTTGGAACCATCTTTTGGATGCAACTTTGGCACACGGAACAGGCGGCCTTTGAAGCTGCTTTCCCTCCCCCACTTCAGAAAACTAAAGCATTTCAACATGTGTGTAGAGGATCTGCTTGAAAGAATAGGAAAGGTTCTAAACCCCTTCTTCTATCTTCCCTTGAGGGTTTTGCATTTGAACGAACTATAGAAAACTAAAGTTCAAATAAGGAGAAAACTAAAGACCTATAAACCAGATATACTCTACAAAGGACTTTATAATTACAGCCTAGGACATGACAGTTTTGAAAGGAAATGTAAATAGGAAGAGCTGCCAGCCCAGCTTGTTGAGTATAAACAAGCTCCTTTCCATATACAAAGGGAAAGAATTTAATGCATCTCCTGTGGTGTTCCTATTGTCTCACGCATCCCAGAAAATTAGAATTGCTTGTCTTCAGCAGACATCTTTCGGGTACCATTCATGGTTTATCTTTGAGAAAAGGCAGAGAACTTCACATTCTGTTCTTGTCCAGGTATGTTGTATTTCTTTAAAACAAAACTGCAGAAAATAGTTGTGGAAAATTCAGAAGTCCAGAGCGAAAGAGGACACCAAAGCATTTTTTTTAAAATAGAACTACAATGCAGGGAATCCTGTTTTGATTTGGTGGCTAGTTTTGAGGAAGCTGCATAGATGTTTGTCCATGTGCTTGTTATTAATTTCTATTGTTAGGCAAAGCAGCCCTTTCAGGAGCAACAACTGAGCTGAGTAAGTCCATTAATAAAGGAGATGGAATGCTGAGATCATCTGCTGATGGCCATCAGCAGACGGAGGAGGGAAGATTTGAGTGTCTCACCTAACTCCTACTATGTTGTAACTCCTTTGTTAGGGATGCCTTTGGACTGTGCTGTGAGTTGGTGAGGAGGCTTCTATTCTTTGGTGCAGATGGGATTACAGGGAGCTTTGGAGGGACAGGAAGAGTCAATCTGGGTCTGATAAGATTAGGTTAAAAAGAGGAACTAGTTTGCACTTACCATTGTGTTTGATAGATCTATTCATATCACCAACCATCTCAAATTCATGATTACATTCTCTACCACAATTCTCTACAATCCAGACTCTAATTTATGAACAGAAATGTTTCAAACCTATTGATTTTCCTGGTGTCAGAAATTATTCACTTCCTTTTACTCCACATGTTGCGCGGGCCTGCAGTTTCCCAAGGCTTCACCAGAAGCTGTTTTGGGATGGAAGGATCAACCTTGTTTTGCCAAATCTTGCCCCATTGCATTCCTATTAATAGCTGCCCTGAACTGACTTACCATCCCTCTCCCAAATTCATTTCACCAAAGTGGACAGAAACTTGGCAAACAAAGGAGCAATTCCGAGTGTGGAAGACCTTCATTCAGTTTCAATAATATTTCTTGGCTAGAATTCTTTAATCCTAAAATCATAACAGCTTTCAGAGTGCTGTTATGCTGAAGATCCAGAGCACAAATGTAGGTTCATTTAGAGACTGCTTCTCTTAACAACCAAGTGGCTGGTCGCAAGTGACCACTAAACAAGGAGTATTTGCATCTGATAAATTTGGGGTTGCAGGAGGGTGCTCAGTAATTAAGACCAGATTGGATTGGATTTATGTCACTTACCAAGACATTCTATCTACCACAGATGGCCTTACAGGCAAGTATAATAATCCCTTAAGATGATTTTTGCAAACTTGTTTTCATACCCATCTTTCAAAGTACTTTTCATCACTTAAAAGCTTATTCAAGAGACCGCATAAAATCATGTATAAATTTTACATTTAGAATATCAAACCCACTGTCCTCAAGAACTGAGACAGTTACAATGACCTGAATTCCAAGAGGGCAGGGCACCAGGAGATATATACTGCACATACTCTTCATCCTCCCAATTCCACCCCCCAATCATCCCCCTTTTCAAAAAGGGGCGCTAAATGGCTTTAGGTCAGGTTACCCTCTAACTTTCTATGGCTGGGTATGGAGACATTTGCTTCTTGTTCATTCTGAAAAACAAATTGCCTGATGGAAGGCAAACCTTTTCTAGTGGATTTGAGGGCTTTTAAAAAAAATTTAATTCCATTAGGCCATCTCAACACAACCCTCTTCAATAATACTTGGTTTTATTTACCAGACGGCTCCAAATATAGGCTTAAGCTTGGAGACAACGTGACTTGTACATATTCCCAGGAGCGCTGTTACAGTGCTCTCCAACCATAACCTAGTCTGCTTGCCTGGGTTAATAGGGAAGAAACATCCCTCTGAAGACCAATTATTATGAGGGAGGTGGGGAAGAAGGTGAAAGAGGACAAACCTTTAATAGCTTTGGAACTTTTCCTTTTCCATTCCAGTGATATCCAAATCTCCAAAACTGTTGGGGTGTTGAAATGTACCATTTCCATGGAAACAGACCAATTCCAGGTAATGGCTTTCTGCCAAGCTACATCCAAAGTCATAGGCTTGAAGGAAACACAGCTGAGGATAGTAACAATCAAGTAACAATCTGATTTGATTCCTGCAGCTAACACAGGGAGAGAGATCAAGATTTCACAAGTGCAGGAGGTGAAGAACACCTTGGGGGACTGTGTAGTGGTTGTTTTTTAGCTCAGGTTTTTTTTAATTTGTTTTTGTGCCTGATGACAAAGTGAAGATGCCCACTTGACTTTTCCCACAGAGAATAACCATTCTTGTTTTTCTGAACTCAGCTGCTTTGGGGAAATACAGAATTAACTGAAGGATAATTTTATGTTTTTCCTGTTTGGACTGTGTATGCCTGACCTTGTTGAACGTACATACATATTACTGACATCCAATTTCCAGATCTTTGAGCAAGGGTCTTCACACTTGGTAAGTTTCAGACTTGTGGATTTCAACTCCCAGAATTCCTGAGCTAACATGACTGGAGGAGGAATTCTGGGAGTTGAAGTCCACAAGTCTTAAAACTGTCAAGTTTGAAGAGCCTTGCCTTTGAGCCATAATAGTGGCTGGTAATGTTGCCTCCAGTTACTGAACCTTTTCGGCCAATGCCACCTTCCCTATCCTCAAATAGATCAAACATTAAAAACTGCAGTTAAGAGTTCTGAGAACAATTAAACCCCTGGGTGACCCAGACTCAAGTCGGCCTTCAGTTATGCACCATTTTGCTTTAGGAGTTCCTTCCCTTTGGGGTACAAGGGCCTCCAATGTGGACAGATTATAACTCCCATAGAACAGATACAAAACAAGGAGACATACTTTAATAACATGATTGCCTTATTAAAAGCAGTTTGACAACTTGATTCGAAATACTGGAGCAAGCAAATAAAGGATTATTTCTAGGAGAGGAAGAGACGGCCAGCTCTTTCCTAGAGGATGTAGGTGGCTCTAATAAGAGCCTTTGGGTTGAGTTGGGAAGTCGGGTAGCAGCAATTCACTTGCCTTTGTGGCTTTCCGTCTTCTTGGGCAAGAGGACCGCTTGGATATTGGGTAACACGCCCCCTTGAGCGATCGTCACTTTGCCCAGGAGTTTGTTGAGCTCTTCGTCGTTGCGAATGGCCAGCTGCAGGTGGCGGGGGATAATGCGGGTCTTCTTGTTATCCCGAGCAGCGTTGCCGGCCAACTCCAGGATTTCCGCCGTGAGATATTCCAGCACCGCCGCCAGGTAGACAGGAGCACCGGCGCCCACCCGCTCGGCGTAGTTCCCCTTACGTAGCAGGCGGTGGACGCGACCGACCGGGAACTGAAGCCCTGCCCGGGAAGAACGAGACTTGGCCTTGGCTCTCGCCTTGCCGCCTTGTTTGCCACGACCAGACATTCTTTAAAGGAGTTTATTTCTTTGCCGATCTCAAAGCTTTAGGGCCTGAATGGATGAGAATGGCGGGGGGGCAATTTATGCCTGCCTCACCGTTTGAAAGTGGCACTTCTGATTGGCCGGCTGTGATGTCAATGCGCGTCAGCCAATGCAAAAGTGATTTCTCAGCAGGACCAATTGAACAGAGAAATATTGTTTTTCCTCCAATAGGAAAGAGGAAGCGAGGGCCGCGATTTGCATGCACACTTTCGCCGGAGGTAATCTCGGAACGCTACAGTAACCGGAAAAACTACCGATTAGGAGCATGGCAGTTGCGAATTTTAGAATTGTGCAACTGCTGGAGCCACCTTTTCTGGTATGCGAGGGAAAGCTGCGGGCTCACGTAGAAACCCTATTGTTGCCTTTATAATGTGTAAAGCCAAGCCTGGCCGATTCTTTCCGTTTGGATATTCCTTGTGCTAAAATGGATTCTTAAATGGTCGCTGTCCTTCATTTCGGAAGTAACTGCGTTCCAGATAGACTATATACAAGTTACCGTTTCGTACCCTAGACTCTGCAATGTGTGCGCTTGTATTTCATTCTTTACAACTTATTTATCTATACATTTCAAAATAATCTGAAGAAAAGTACGCTTGATTCTGTCGAGCTATGGCAATAGATACATATTTTGCTTCGCAATTCTTCTGTAACAAACTGCCTCACTCCCGATCAGTAGTTTGTCAGATTGTTACCTTATCAGCGGCTTGTTTGAAATTCTATACTTTTTCTGAAAAGAAACAATACAAGCAAAACTGTTAAGTGATTGAATCAAAAAAAATTTGTTGGGGTTCTTAAAATAGTCCTTATATTTTAAGAACCCCAACAAACGTTTTTTTGATTCAATCACTTAGGTTTTTCTCTATTAAACATTCAAGATATGTTTCAAAACAACAGCCATTTCTGTTGGCGTTTAAGGAGGGAAGCTAAATGCCTGAAATATTGTACTTCCTTAAATGTGAGATACTATCTTACACCCTATGAGATTACTTGGAACACAGAACCTTTGCAATTTGAAACGCATTGAGTTAACTATTAGCCATTCGCTGTTTTAAAATGAAGCCGAGCCTTTATTGGACAAGACTGTGTGGCATCGCCCTATCAAATCGTAGCCTAATTGGACGAGTGGGCTGTCATTGCCCACCTTCTCTTTCTTCGCGGCAGTTTTCCTTTTGGTCGGAAAGCAACCAATATAAACGTGGACTAGAAAGCGAACAGCTCGTAGAGTTCAGGTTTTTATCGTTTGGTAACATGTCTGGGCGCGGAAAAGGTGGAAAGGGTTTGGGAAAAGGGGGTGCTAAGCGCCACCGTAAAGTCTTGCGAGATAACATCCAAGGCATTACTAAGCCCGCTATCCGCCGTTTGGCTCGTCGTGGCGGAGTAAAGCGTATTTCTGGTTTGATCTACGAAGAGACTCGCGGGGTACTGAAGGTGTTTCTTGAAAACGTAATCCGCGATGCCGTGACTTACACCGAGCACGCCAAGAGGAAGACGGTGACTGCCATGGATGTGGTGTATGCCTTGAAACGCCAAGGCCGTACCCTGTACGGGTTTGGTGGTTAAATGCCCCGAATTTCTCAAAAAGTAAATCAAAAGGCCCTTTTAAGGGCCACCCACTTCCTCAGTAGAGAGCTGCAATCACAAAAGTGACATGCATTCTAATGTTTGAGGTTGACATCCAATAACGGAATCTGAACTACGGTTCCCTCCCCCCCTACTTTTTCTACACATTAAACGGGAGTAACAGCTCTTTTTTGATGTTTTGGGTGGCTCTTAAAAGAGCCTTTTGTGTTTTACACTGATGTTAACGGATAGCGTCTTCATTTGCCTTTGGCCTTGTGGCTCTCCGTCTTCTTGGGTAGTAGCACAGCTTGGATATTGGGCAAGACTCCTCCCTGGGCAATAGTAACGCCTCCCAGTAGCTTATTGAGTTCCTCGTCGTTACGGACGGCCAACTGGAGGTGGCGAGGGATTATTCTAGTTTTCTTGTTATCCCGGGCCGCATTGCCAGCCAGCTCCAGAATTTCAGCTGTCAGATATTCCAACACTGCAGCCAAGTAAACGGGGGCTCCAGCACCAACCCGCTCGGCATAGTTTCCTTTGCGAAGGAGACGGTGAACTCGACCTACGGGAAATTGGAGCCCAGCACGAGACGAGCGAGATTTCGCTTTAGCTCTAGCTTTCCCCCCCTGCTTGCCACGGCCAGACATTGCGACGCAGCCTCGGCTCCCAGCTCAAACACAGAAGAAAAAATAAAATAGCAATTAAAGGAAGAGAACCACCGACTCCTTTTATCTCCACCTCGCGTTACGCCAGCGCCATTCCTGATTGGGCCCAGCCTGTTACCAGGATTTGACAACCAATAAGACGGCAAGCTCTCAAGGCGACCAGTAAGGGCGCGCAGGTACAGTATCTACCCAATAGAAATCTGGGCATTTGGCAGGGCTCTCATTTGCATGTGCGCGCGCAGGAGCGATGATATCAAAGCTCCCTCGGCCAATGACATCGTGGTGTTTTGAATCCTCTCATTTGCATAGAGAGACTATAAATAAAGGGACGCGATCAGTTCCCCTACTTCAGATTGACTTCTTGGTGTTTTCTTTTTAAAAAAAAAACTTGCTGTGCGAAGAAACAGTGATCGGTTATTCAGAATGCCTGAACCGGCGAAATCTGCTCCCGCGCCCAAAAAGGGCTCGAAGAAAGCGGTGACCAAGACCCAAAAGAAGGGTGACAAGAAGCGACGCAAGAGCCGGAAGGAGAGCTACTCCATTTATGTCTACAAGGTACTGAAGCAGGTCCACCCCGACACCGGCATCTCCTCCAAGGCCATGAGCATCATGAACTCCTTCGTCAACGACATCTTCGAGCGCATCGCGGGGGAGGCGTCCCGCCTGGCCCACTACAACAAGCGCTCCACCATCACCTCGCGGGAGATCCAGACGGCCGTGCGGCTGCTGCTGCCCGGCGAACTGGCCAAGCACGCCGTGTCGGAAGGCACCAAGGCCGTCACCAAATACACCAGCTCCAAGTGAGGCGGCTGCGCTGCGCAGTAAGGCGATTTGAGAAACCCAAAAGGCTCTTTTAAGAGCCATCCACTTCCCCGTGAAAGAGCTTGGTCTCAAAACTAATGTGTCGTCTTTGTTATGTCTCCCGCCCTGATTATTTTTATAAATAATGCTCCCCTTTCCTCCTGTCAACACATAAATTTATTTCTTCTCCAACATCGGTAAAGGAAGTCCACATATAGTTGTGCTTATATGCTGTTGTGCGTTTAACCCCCGAATGCAGTAATTTTATGGGATGTTTCCTATTATTCCCGTTGTGCCCGTGTTCTTCCCTTCCCAATTAAAATTCCTGACGCGCGATTATTTACGTATTCTTTTAGATTATTTCTGGGTTTGCGACCGAAAGCCAGGGAATTAGCGATTCTAATACGCACCCGCGTCCTTGGACGAGAGAAAACAGCATTCTCAAAAATAGCGCGCGGTTAACTTCTTCCACGTTTATATACAGAATTTCAAAAAAGTTCGCATGACCTCTTCTGGTCAGGGGGTCCCGAAGTGATCCCCAAATGCTGATTTTACGACCGCTTATTAAATCATGCAACGGAAGTTATTTGGATGATATCCTTGAAGTTGAAAGACGGATGGCTGTTATTGAAGAAGAAGAGCCTGTCTGGTATTCTGTATACTCTATATTTCTGGAGGAATGACACCCGGCTGAGCAGAAAGAACAATATAGCAAGTTGTATAAACTGCCTCCAGTCCCCATAAAACACGCTTCTCCGTTGTTGCGCTAACAGCTTCATGTACAGCATGCAGCTCTTTTTATTGCCACCTAGTGGTGGCCGTCAGAACTAGTTTTCTGGCCTGTAGGTAGCATTGTCATTGTTGCCTTTACTCGCTGTTGTTTTTCCTTCCACATCTGTGAGGCAGTCAGATTTCTGACCAAAGCAAGCAGATCTACCCAGCCAGGAGAAGGAAAAACAACCCTTTTTCCAAGTCTCTTTTGTGTGTGTGTGTGTGTGTGTGAGCTGAGTTTTTAGGGGAGTTCGTGTCCCATGATAGATGTCTATGGAGGTTGTCAATCATCCAGGTTGTGGCTGTCCCAAGGGTGCTTTTTCAAGAGGCAATTGGACTTTCTGGTTTTACTCTGAAGACATTTCGCTTCTCATCCAAGAAGCTTCTTCAGCTTTGAATGAGCTTCTTGGATGAGAAGCAAAATGTCTTCAAAGAAAAACCAGAAAGTCTATTTGCCTCTTGGAAAAAAAAAAACACCTTTGTGACAAACCTTTGTGGATGACTGAGAATCTCCATAGACATGAACCTCCCCCAAGGTTAACATTAACTCAGCCCAGTTAAGTTGAAAAAAAGCACCTTTGGGGCAGGGGTGGGATTCAAATTTCTTAACAACCGGTTCTGTGGGTGTGGCCTAATTTGTGGGTGTGGTTTGGTGGTCATGTGACTGGCTGGGCATGGCTTGTATGTAAATATTATAAATATTTATGTAAATATTGATTTTTTTTTATTAAAAAAAGCAACTTTTACCCAAAATTAGGCAAAGCAGGCAGGCAGATTGAGTTGCTCACAGAATCACAGATCTATCTTTCTGCAATGGGCTACCTGAGTGTCACATAAAATTTGCCAGTAAGCAAACTCATAAAATTAACTCACAACACACCATGTCTGTAAATATTGATTTTTTTTATAAAAAGAGCAATTTTTGCCCAAGAGCAGGCAGGCAGATTGAGTTGCTCAAAGAATCACAGATTCACTTAGAGATCTGTGTTTCTGCTATCTGCTACCTGAGTCTGCACTGAATAATAGAAGCTTCAGGCTCAGCTCTGCTTTTAGATTAGCTAGAAAGCAAGAAATCTAGTTTCCTGCTTTCTAACTAATCTAAATCTCCTGCCACAGCAGAACAGCTGATGGTCAGGAAGAAAAAAAAAAAGGAAAAATAGCAACTTACCAAATGCAGGCAAATTGGATGTCCCGCATGCCAGGTAAGGAGTGAGTGGGCGGGGCCAGCCAGTAGTGCGATTTGCCAGTTCTCCAGCAAGTAGAATCCCACCCCTGGTGAGAGTGCGTTTTGGGTGCATCTGTAGACTATTTCCTAAAAACCTCAGCTGTGCCACCCTGATAGCTGACAAGCGCTGCACGTGGGTGTGCAGAGTTTGAAAATCCTCTTCTTTCCTGCTTTTTCAACCTCAGCTGTGCCGCACAAAGCAGCTGAGTTTGAAAAAGCAGGAAATAAAGGACAGCCAAGACCCCGGGCAGGCGAGTAGGCCAAACAGAGCAGCAGATACCAAACCAGTTTGGTGTCTGCTGCTCTTCAGAGCTATCAGTTCTATAGAACTGGGCAGAACTGGTAGCATCCCACCCCTGCTTTGGGATGTCCTACAGTACGATGAGAGTTTTTGGTTTTTTTCTGTGTTGCAAGGGAGGGGGAAACCACCCAGTACTATTATTCCTTCTCTTGAATGCACACATACATTAATGCTCTTCCAATAGTTAATTGGAGAAGAATTCTTGGAATAAAGGCCAGAGCTCTGCATCTGGGCAGGGAGCGACAAAGGCTAGATCAAACAAGCATACAGATAATTCTCTACTGATGTCCACAATTTCATTTCTAAACATGGTGATTGTTAAATGAGTCAATCCCAACTTTGCAACGTTTTTGCCCTGGTTGTTCACTGCAGTTGTTGAGGGAAACAAGCAATCATTAAGCTAATCTGGGTTCTCCTATCAACTTCGCCTGCCAAAAGATGGCTGGGAAGTTCACACATGGCAATCACATGACCCCAAGATGCTGCAATCATTAGAAATACATGCTGGTTGCCAAGTGCCCACATTTTGATCATGTGACTGTGGTCTATGATGGTTGTAAGCATGAGGACTGGTGGCAAATCCCTTTTTTCAGTGCTACTGTAACTTGGAACAGTCACTAAATGAACATTGAGGTCCACCTTTCATGCTAATTTTAGACTGACTGGAATATCCTAGAGCCCATCAAAGTTCCTGTAACTCAAAGAAGGAGTATAATACAAAAAAAATCATCATTTTTATTCCACAAATTTTCTCCTTTTTCTTTACTTTTTCCTCTCGTTCTCAACAGGGTTGATTTTAACCAATGAAAAAGTGGTGGAAAGGAGAAAAGGAAATACGTTGTTCTATGTGTACAGCTAAGGCAATAATTCCTCATTTTGATTTTCTACCATTCAGTAAATGAAACATGGGATTCTGCTTCTAGGTTTGCAATATAAAATTTGTAAAATTTGGGGTGTTGTCTTCAACAATATATAAGGGAATTCAGAAATGTCTATGAAATAAATAATAAGACTCAGGGAAGATCAAAAAGTGCAAACCCTCTCTTCTGCTGACAATCAGCATTTGCAACCCAATTTCACTTGTGTATTCTGGGGTGCTCTATAGGTAAAAATATGAAAGAATAGCCAATGGGGTGCTCATGATAAATATATTGTACTGCCATGTTGGCATAACTTCCAGTATCCTGCTTAAACTTCAGCAATGCTTCTGACAGCATAGAAACATATTGAGTCAAAAAATTACTTGCTTCAGATTTCTTGAAGATCCTCCTTTCTCCAGGAAGTGCATGGTATCTCATGAACCCATGTATCAGCAATCTCTTGGTAAGGCTAAGGAAGAACTCCGGCACCTTCCCCATTGGCTGATTGGCCAACAGTAACTGTTCCTTGTTTGCTGTAATCAATCAGTCATTGCAAAATTCTAAGAAAAGGGAACTTGTTTTTATCAGCCATTCTTTGTTTGCCAACTATTTTTCTTGGACGACAAAGTAGGTACAAGTCAGTTGATTGGGCTTAGGTGTTCCATGACGGGAGTGACTGAATAAACTTAGTTTACCCATGAGTGGGTCTCTTTAGAGCTAAATATAACCGCCATCGTTAGTTGACTAGGTCAATTCTTTTCAGTGTTCCCACAGCATGTTCTCATTTAAATATGCTAGCCTCTGTCAATCTAGGTTCTATTATCTATGTCACTTAAGCATTGGACTAGATGGCAACAAAGAGATAAAGGAATTCTCTGTTGCCATCCAGTGATATTCCGGATTTTTGCAACAGAGATATAGTATCTTAGCCTCTGCGTATACAAACCGAAAACTTGGAGTTTTCCCTCTCCTTTCCTCCCTAGGCCTAAACTTGTTGATTAGGCTGTCACATTATAGAGCAGGGGGGTCAAACTCGATTTCATTGAGGGCCGCATCAGGGTTGTGTTTGACCTCGGGGAGCTAGGTGGGCGTGGGCATGGTGGGCAAAGCCAGATTGACATCACTCGTGTTAGGAGAGCATGTGGTGGCCCAAGCACTCTGCCAGCTAA